GCCCCAGTGTGTGATGTTCCCCTCCCTGTGTTCATGTGTTCTTAACTCCCACTTATGAGTGAGAACATGGGGTGTTTGATTTTCTGTTCTTGTGTTAGTTTGCTGAGAATGATGGTTTCCAGCTTCATCCATGTGCCAGCAAAGGACATGAACTCATCCTTTTTTATGGCTGCATAGTATTCCATGGTGTATATATGCCACATTTTCTTTATCCAGTCTATCATTGATGGGCATTTGGTTTGGTTCCAAGTCTTTGCTATTGTGAATAGTGCCGCAATAAACATATGTGTGCGTGTGTCTTTATAGCAGAATGATTTATAATCCTTTGGGTATATACCCAGTAATGGGATTGCTGGGTCAAATGGTATTTCTGGTTCTAGATCCTTGAGGAGTCACCACACTGTCTTCCACTTTCTTTTTATTTAGTTTTTGAGATGGAGTCTTGTTCTGTCACACAGGCTGCAGTGCAGTGGTGCAATCTCTGCTCACTGCAACCTCCGCCTCCCAGAACCTCTGCTTCCTGGGTTCAAGTGATTCTCCTGCCTCAGATTCCCAAGGAGCTGGAATTATAGGCATCTGCCACCACACCTGGCTAATTTTTGTTTTTTGTTTGTTGGTTGGTTTTACTAGAGACAGGGTCTCCCTTGTTGGCCAGGCTGGTCTCGAACTCCTGACCTCAGATAATCTGCTCTCCTCGGCCTCCCAAAGTGCTGGGATTACAGGCATGAGCCACTGCGCCCAGCCCATTTTTTGCTTTCTTCATGGAGCTTTGCCTGATTATTTCAGTTGTTACTAATCTCTCACCTTTAGGTAACTATAACTCTCACAGGCACTTCCATATGTTTTGGCATGTTTATGTTACTATTTTGTTTTTTTAGTCTTTTGTTCTCAATTAAAAGTGTCATTTATTTCCTCTAGACAATTAGCACATGAAAGCTATTTTTGGTGTCTTTATATCAGAATCATGTTGGGTGCTTATTAACAATGCTGATTCTTAGCCCCACCTTAAATCTGTTGAATCATAAACTCTTGGAAAGGTCTTAAGCACACCAAAGTTGGAAAAACGCCACACTACTGTTAAATACCTGTGCTCTGTTTTCAATGAGGATGAACTGTTTGAGGCATTTATATGAATAAGTAACTTTTCAGGTCCCATTCACTATGCCACTAAAAACTTAATTTCTCTAAGAAAAATCTGTTGGCTCAGAAGCTTGTTTTCTAGTTAATGTTATAATTTTCCTTTCTGTTATCCTTTCCATCCTTCCCTCACATTTCATATACATACTCACAACTACATCATTTTTTCCCATGTTCTAGGGACAGGTGCCTTAAAACCAGCTCTTTTATGCCTCTATGCAGTATGTCACCATTTACTTCTTAACATGGCATCCTCTGAAACTCCTGTCTCCTGTAGTCCCTGCCTCTACTTATCTACTTCTGTCCCTCTTATAAATCAGTGTGAGATGATATGGGAGAAAACAAATCTTTATTGGAACCACTAGATTATGTGCCACTGAATCTATGAATTCCTGCAGCTACTTCTCCAGTTTAGCCTTCACTGATTATTAGTACAACTTTCAAAAATGTGTGAATATTTTGAAGAAAGCTTAATATGAAAGCACTCAAAATAATTTTATATAAAGATGTAATCCAAACATTATCCTCATGGTATAGAATAGGAAATTGCAAGCTATGGTTAACTAGATAAGCTCAATATTGATAAAATATTTTCAGCTAGCATATAAAGGTACTGTACTTCATAGGTATGGATATTCTATAAAAATTCTTTAAAACAGTGTTCCTTACTTGTTTTGGCTACTTATTTAATACCAAACATGAAGATGAACCTTTCATATCAGCCTAAAACATGGAAATTTATGGATATTGTGTTTGTTTAAAAAAACATATATCTTTGGCATGTATCAAGGCAAAATGTTATAAGTAAAATTGCAGGATATTTAATTTCCAAAAGACTGTGTTTACAGTGGTTGTTTTTCATCATGGTTTCAGATAATTACTCCTAGCAAAAGAAAAATGTCTGAAGCATCAATGATTGTTTCTGGGGCAGATAGATACACTGTGAGAAGTCCAGTACTTTTCAGCAACACATGTAAGTTTTATAGTTTTAAAATATTTCTAACAATTATTTTAAAGGAGGCATTTTTTAATTTAAGGAACTCTGAGCATAATTTACATAAAGGATAAGTTTGGTGTATAAAAATTGATAAAATATGAACCACAAATGTCTTCTAATGGGAGGAAAAGTATAATGCTAACATATGAACAGAACAATGTTCAAAATACTAATATTTGACAATAATTTGTTATAATTTAAGCAAGACACAGCATATCTTACTGGTTAAAACACTGAATTAACCAGGCCAGGCGGACTTAGCTCCCCACTTCCAACTGTGTACTTTGTACAGGTTATCCTCTAGCTAAATTTAGAACCAGTTTTTTTTCTATAAGTGGCACTTAAGTATCTCATCAAGTTGTTTAAAGGACTAAATAAAAATCACTCATTTAATAAGGAATCTAGTGAAACTTTAAACAGTGCCTGATACATACTAAGAGCTAAATAAAAGTTTTAAAAAATCTGATACTGTGTACTAGTTTCTTTACAGTCTTAGTCTATATGACAACTTAACATTGACCTTCTGTTCTAAAAATCTAGTTGCCTACTGGCCAATTGCCTAGTATCTGACAGGCTCCTCAAACTTAATAGGTCCAAAGTTAAATTAATCTTTCCATCCTCCCTGCAAATTTTTCCTTCACTTCTTATCTTGGTAAATGACATCTATATTCACTTACTTATCTAAGCCAGAAACCTGGGAACCATCTAAGAATGTTCATTTCTTACCTTCCTCATCTGAAAAGTACCTCAACAATAGCAATAGGTAAAAAAAAAGAAAAAGAAATCTGCAATCCTTATCCTCCTTTTTAGCAATACCACCACGAAGAAGAAGAATTAAACCACCACTGCAAATGACGAGTTCTGCAGAGAAACCTAGTGTTTCTCAAACATCAGAAAATGGAATGGATAATGCTGCATCACTGAAATCTAGACCATCAGAAGAAAGACATAAGAGAGATAATACAGACAAAGTAACTTTACCTTGAAAGTATTTTTAAAAATTTTTTTCAAGTAATTGTGGAAATATGCATTGAACTAACTTCTTTTGCAAGCTGCAAATGTCTCATTTTGTTTAAAGCATTACCTTTTTTCCCCCTAAGTATCATTTATTGCTCTTGAAAGTAGAGTCCTTCTGGCATATATGACTCATTTACTGTGCTTACAATAAAACTTATGAATATTCACTATAACTTGATTTACACATTTGGGAGCATAAATGAACTTGCCATAATTATGTAATTTATTATACAAATTAGTGACTGCTATAGGGAAGGCTGTGGTATAGGAATGTGAGATACAAGTGGACTGTGTCCTTAAGTTTCTCAAAATCTAGCATGAAAATTAGATAATAAGTTATAAGCATTCTCAGATGTACACATATAGGATGCAGTAGGAACCAAGTAGTAGAGGGTCAAGTGCCTAACCCTGTAGCTAGATGTGAGGGTGAAGATCAGGAGATGCTTTTTAAGAAAATATGGAGAGAGAATTGACTTTTGAAAGGTCAATAGAGTCAAATGGATATTGAGGAGAAGGGCATTTGTTCCAGGTCGTTGAAAAGACAGAGCAGGAAAGGATAAGAGAGAATAGTTTCTTCAAGAAACAAGAGGTAATCAGAGTTGCAGATAAGCTTGTAAAGGAGGAACATCTAATAGCTTTTGTTTTTTCTGAAGTGTGAAGATGGTGAGTTTCTCCTAGAGATCTGTTGAAGTACAGGATTCAGGGACATGTAAAGCTATGTGCAAGGTAACGGAGAGGCCTAAGAATAACTGTTAGATAATGTTGAGGACCCAGTTTAAATATGACTTTTATAGCATAAATATGTTTATAAATATGTACAATTTTCTCAAAGCTTAGTAGCCTTGGTGTTGATAGTAAGATGAGAACAGATGATGGATTCTTAAAATTTAAATGGGTATGTGGCAGAAAGATAAAGCGTATGAAAGTTGAAGATATTACAAGAAAATAGTCAAAGTAATGGTTCAAGTTGTCTTAAGTGTTTCTTAATAAGGGGATTATTTTTCAGTTGTGCGACATGGTCCTAAATGTTGTAGGATGATAAGCATCCTAGCTAGGATCGTGCTTACCTATTGTCAGGAGAAACCCTCTGTCGTTGTAACAACCCAAACCACACCTGCGTATTTCCGTAACGTTCCCCTCCCAGTGCGGAGAATCACTGGCTAGAGTAAGAAGGAGAGGCAGCCAGGATGAGGCAAAATATTTTAGACTAATGGGAATATTTTTCTGACAATAGTGGCAGATTTGTATTTGATCTGGATTAAATGTGTATCTTTGGCTATGGAAATAGGGAAGCTCGCTGTAGGAAAGAAGTTACCTGGGCAATGCAGTAGATATTGTTATAAATAAAAAACTTACTAAACAAAAATCATCCTCATCAATATCTGATGATAATTCTGAAAAAACAGGAAAAGTGAAATATAAGAAAGAGTGGACCATATCAAGATCGACAAAGCAGGCTATGTAATCAGTAGCAACTGGAGAGATTTCTCATGGAGAGTACAGAACTTGTCAGTTACAGATGAAAATTGAATTATTCTAGCTGTGGATGTGATCAGAAAATTTATGCAATATTCTGCCTCATCTGCAGTGATAGTTTTCTTGTGTTTTAGGATAGGGAACATTCAGAAATGGGCATAACGTTTATGAAATATATAAAAATAGTATCCAACTTTTCATATCAAGGCAGATTTATTTTAAAACACTCAAACCTTAATACTCTTAACGTTTAAGTTGTTTTCCTATAACATCTTAAGTTTACGTTAACATGTTTCCCGTGTTTACAGCACATCAAAACTGCTAAGTGTGTAGAAAACACAGAAAATATGAACGTTGAATTCTCAAACCAAAATTTTGGTAAGTATCTTGTGGTTTAATTTAATTTTAGTCATTTTTTTTTGAAAACATACTTCTCCCTGTATTTTCCTTTAACTCCACTGGCTTTCATTGATTTGAAAAAGATTTACAAAGAATTTGTTTGACTTTGTGCAAGGAATTTTTGAGGTTACAAAGAAATATACAACCTTTGTTCCCCAGAAGTTTGGGTCTAAGAGGACGCAAAATCGATCAATCCATTCATCCTAATACGTGAACCTTTATACGTTTCTATACTAACTCCCCATCCCACTGCCAACTGCATGAAAAAAAATGAAAATATAATAATACTTGTTTTATTTAGATGAACTCCAGGATGTTATACCTGATTCACAGGCAGTGGAAAAAAGAGATCATACTGCGTAAGTATGAGAAAATCATCAAATCATTTAGTCTATACTATTGCTGTTTTTAGTGAATACAACAGATTTGGAGGAAAAGGACTTTATATGATTAGAATGTAGCATTAATCATCTCTTAAGTGTTATGACAGCACAATGGGGAATGATGTATATGGTTTTTTTCCCCCCATATGGACCAATATAACTCTTTTCAAGTGGAGAGACTTAAAATGAATGAGATTTTAAAAATGTATAAACAATGTGTAGAAATTTAACTTAGTTTACAGTAGAACATGTAATATAAGATATATTTACATATTATTTACACACATGTAATACATTGCTTTCAGTAAACTTTGACTACATTAAAAATCAAGGTCTTAAAGTCATAGGCTAATGTTTTATAACATAGTAAGCAAATTATTTTCTAGATTACCTGGTGTTTTTGACAACATCTCTGGAAATAAAATGCACAGCAAATGGGCATGTTGGACACCTGTAACAAACATTGAACTATGTAATAACCAAAGAGCAAGTACTTCATCAGGAGACACATTTAATCAAGGTGAAACTGAATTTTATCTATATATAATAGTTCAGTGTTAATTTCCTCAAATGTCTAACAAGCATTAAAACAAATTTAACAAATTTTACATATTGTCAAATTACTAATTTAAAAAATTAATTTCTCATTTTCCTCAATAGATATTGTTATAAATAAAAAACTTACTAAACAAAAATCATCCTCTTCAATATCCGATCATAATTCTGAAGAAACAGGAAAAGTGAAATATAAGAACGAACGAACCGACCATCTCAAAATAGATAAAGCAGAAGTAGAAGTTTGCAAGAAACACAATCAACAACAAAATCATCCTAAATATCCAGGGCAGAAAAGTACTGAAAACGCCAAGCAGAGTGATTGGCCTGTTGAATCTGAAACTACTTTTAAATCGGTTCTCCTTAATAAGACAATTGAAGAATCGCTGATTTATAGGAAGAAATACGTATTGTCAAAAGATGTGAATACTGCTACTTGCGATAAAAATCCTTCTGCTAGCAAAAATATGCAAAGTCATAGAAAAGCAGGGAAAGAATTGACTTCTGAGCTTAATTCCTGGGATTTGAAACAAAAAAAAATGGTGAGCTTTCAATGTGTTTTGATTTTTGCATATCCATAAGATGCCTACTTGATAACATAAGAAGCTTGATTAATTGCTACACATTTAATATGTGTAGTACCTTGTTTAATTCAGTGCCCAGACTCTGAGAATTCCTTCTTAAACTCCTCACTCACCTCTCTCTTGTCCTAGCTCTGACAGAACAGTAGTAGGCACATATCAGACATGTAAATATGTATAGAATTAATGAACCATGCAGTTCCTATCTCTTCTTTTTGGGTTCCTCCCACTCTTTCCTTTTGACTTGCATATAGAACTGTTTGTACATTTCTTATAATTCTTACCTTTCTTTTTAATAAATGGTTATTTTTTTTTCTATGACTGTAACCATAGACTATGTTTTATTCAACATTTGTTTTCCTGCATGTCCTAGCACAACCTTGTACACAGTAACATCTCAAATATTTTTTGGATGAATGCATTTAACCTTGAGAAGGTTTTGCAAGAAAGTATGTAAATGGGTTGGAAGAGACTGTCTTCTATTGTAACTGTTACTCATCATCATTAGAGCTCCCACTTTCTTTTTCAGATTAATCATCTCTGGAGAACATCTCTAAGACATTTTTAGCTACTTTGCCACCAGACTTCCAGGGAAGAAAATTTTACTTTTTTGTAACAGTATGGGTAAATCATTTTTTCTTAACTATCAAAATGCAGATTAAGAAAAAAAAACTTTAGAATATACATTTCCACTGCAAGTAATGCAATCTGCTTTTTGATATTTCTAAAATAATCCAGGTTTTGTAGGCTTTTATTTTCATTTATCTTCAGTAGTAATGCTGATACCTGCGTAGCCAGATTTCTAGAGTCAATGTAAAATGTTCACACAATGTAACATCTCAATGTGCAAATTACATTTAAAAGATAATTTGCAACTGTATATAATTAGGCATTATTTTTCTCGACCAGTCTCCTTTAAAATATTTTCTACACCTGCAGCTCACTTTTTGTGCCTAATTTGGCTGTTTTCTTCTTTAATCATATTCTTTTGGGTCCCTTTTTTTCTTGGATCCTAATATGTTATTTTCTCTTTCTCAGCTGCTATTTACTTCCCTCAGTCCCAGGGGAAATAAGGTTCTTTTTGTCCAAACAAAGATCTGTCTTTAAATTTAAATTTTAAATTGCTTTCTTTGGTATTTAGAATAATTTCACATAATTTCCCTGAGCTAGTCATTTCTTTTTTCTGGGAGCACAAAATCTAATAATCTTTTCTAAGCTGTGCTCTGATTTTAAAAAAATCAACTTCCTGTTTTCAGAAATTGTCTTCAGTCCTTCATAGAGTCACTACCTGTATCCTATTTAGGATTTCCCACCAGTTCCATGAATCACTGTCTTCTACCTACCTACCTACCTACCTACCTATTCATTTATTATAGTTTAAGTTCTGGGGTACATGTGCAGAACGTGCAGTTTTATTACATAAGTATACATGTGCCATGGTGGTTTGCAGCACCCATCAACCCATCATCTACATTAGGTATTTCTCCTAATGCTATCCCTCCCCTAGCCCCTCACCCCCCAACAGGTCCCAGTGTGTGATGTTCCCCTCCCTGTGTTCATGTGTTCTTAACTCCCACTTATGAGTGAGAACATGGGGTGTTTGATTTTCTGTTCTTGTGTTAGTTTGCTGAGAATGATGGTTTCCAGCTTCATCCATGTGCCAGCAAAGGACATGAACTCATCCTTTTTTATGGCTGCATAGTATTCCATGGTATATATATGCCACATTTTCTTTATCCAGTCTATCATTGATGGGCATTTGGGTTGGTTCCAAGTATTTGCTGTTGTGAATAGTGCCACAATAAACATACATGTGCATGTGTCTTTATAGTAGAATGATTTATAATCCTTTGGGTATATACCCAGTAATGGGATTGCTGGGTCAAATGGTATTTCTGGTTCTAGATCCTTGAGGAATCACCACACTGTCTTCCACAATGGTTGAACTAATTTACACTCCCAACAGTGTAAAAGCATTCCTATTTCTCCACATCCTCTCCAGCATCTGTTGTTTCCTGACTTTTTAATGATCATCATTCTAATGGGTGTGAGATGATCACTGTCTTCTAAGGTAGCCATCTGTCTGATACTGTCTTTCTACTTATTGGATCACCCCAGAGCAACCTATGTTCTTAAATGGCACAGATTTCCCAGGCTGGCTCCAATTATACTGGAATTTCTGAAATCATACAGTATTTTAGAGAAGGTTCATCTTGGTACCTTTCTATCAAGACAAGTAAACCATGTTTGCAATCTGATAATCTTAAGGGAACATTAATAACTTAGTACCTATTATATATAAGAACATATGGACTTCAAAATGGTTAAAATAGTAAATTCTGTGTTTACTAGAGTTTTGTGTATATCACTATAATTAAAAAACCTATATGCCTTATAACCAGAGAAAAGTAAATATAAACTCAGGAGCCCTCATGTCTTTAAGAATACTACCGTAGTTTATTAAAACGAAGTTATCTAAATTATGCTGAGAATAATTCTTATTTTGTAGTCCTTTTACTTTTAAAAATTTATTTTTGGAGCAATTTTAGTTCCAAAAGTGAGTAGAAAGTATAGAGATTCCTCATATACCCATTTACCCATTCCCCTGTTGTTAACATCTTGCATCACTGTGGTACATTTGGTAGAATTGATGAATCATTATTGATACATAATGATTATTAACTCAAATGCTTAGTTTACATTAGGTTTCATGCTTTGTTATACATTCTGTGTGTTTTGACAAGTATGTAGTGAAGTGACATATCTACCATTACAGTATTACACAGAATAGCTTCAGTGCCCTACCATTCCCCTGTGTTCCACTTGTTTGTACTTTTGACTAGGAATGTGTTAAATCTATAGATCAAGTTAGAAAGAACTGACATCTTGACAGTGTTGAGCTTTCTATCCATATATGTGGAATATCTCTTCATTTATTTAGATCTCCTTTGATTTCTTTCATCAGACTTTTGTAGTTTTTCTCTTGTACATGTTTTGTTAGATTCACATTTAAGTATTTCTTTTGGCAGTGCTAATGTAAATTATATTATGTTTTTGATTACAAACTCCACTTGTTCATTGCTGGTTTATAAGAAAGTGGTTGACTTTTGTATATTAACCTTGTAATTTGCAATCTTGCTACAATTGCTTATTACTTCCAGTAGTTTTGTTGCTAATTCTTTGAGATTTTCTACATAGACAGTGAGGTCATTTGTGAACAAAGACAGTTTTATTTCTTCTTTCCTAATCAATATACCTGTTATTTCCTTTTTCTGCTTATTGCCTTAGCTAAGAATTCCAGCACAATGTTAGAAAGAAGCAATGAGAGGGGACATTTTTGCCTTGTTTCTGATTTTAATAGGAAAAGCATCTTGTTTCTCACCCTTAAGTGTGATGTTAGCTGTAACTGTTTTTGTAGATATTCTTTATCAAGCTGAGAAAGTTTCCATTTATTCCTAGTTTGCTAAGAGTTTTTTATCATGAGTTTGTGTTGGATTTTGTCAGATGCTTTTTGTGTATCAATTTATATTGATTATTTTAAATTAGCCTGTTGATATGATGGAGTACATTAATTTTCAAATGTCAAATCAGTCTTGCATGCCTAGAATAAATTCCACTTGGTAATAGGTGAGTAATTCGTTTTATAGGTTGTAGGATTTGATTTGCTGATACTGCTGATGTTACAGATTTTTGCATATGTGTTTATGGGAGATATTGGTTTGTACTTCTACTTGTTTGTAATGTCTTTGGTTTTGGTATTAAGGGGATATTGGCCTCATAGACCAAGTTAGGAAGTAGTTCCTACTCTTCTATATTCTAGAAGATTGTGGAGAATTGGCATAATTTCTTCCTTAAATGTTTGATAGAGTTCACCAGTGAACTCTTTCTGGTGTTTTGTTTTGGTAGGATATCAAGTATTCATCCCATTTCTTTAATAGACATAGGCCTAGTCAGATGATCTGTTTCTGTTTACATAAGTTTTGGTAGATTATGTCTTTCAAGGAATTGGTCCATTTCATCTAGCCTATCACATTTGTGGGCATGGAGTTCGTAATATTGACTTATTATTTTAATGTCTATGTGATCAGCAGTGATGGTCCTTCTTTCATTTCTGATAGTAATTTGTTTTTTTCCTCTTTCTTCTTTGTTAATCTGACTAAAGGTTTATCAGTTTTATTGATCTTTTCAAAGAAATGGCTTCTCCTTTTTTCAGTTTTTTATTCTCACGGGTAGAAACATTTTTAAAAATGTCTACAAAGCACTCTGTAAAGTTCTGTTAAAATATTTATCTTGAGTTATTTCAATGCCTAACAAAGCTCAAACTTATTAAATAATTGACTCTATTTCTCTTTACAGGTATAAATAGAACTAGATTTATCTTAAAAGTTTTTTTTCAGCCTTTATTTTCCTTTGAAGATTAACTGGTAGAGTTTAAAAGTAACTTACAAATTTTTTCAGAGAGAAAAGTCAAAAGGGAAAGAATTTACCCATGCAGCAGAATCCTTGATAAGCCAAATCAATAAAAGATACAAAACAAAAGATGACATCAAGTCTACAAGAAAATTAAAGGAGTCTTTGATTAACAGGTATGTTCTTAAATTTCAGATATGAATATTTTTCTGACTGATATAACTATATTACACAATTTAAAAAAGGTTAATTTTAAACATAGATTCAGATAATGTAACTTTTCAGTAGAAAACACATGGTTACTTAATACTTTTATAAATAGTAGATGTTTAAATTACACAGGAAGGGAACTAAATTTGAAATTTGTCATTTTATTGTCTAGTTACATTTTATATAGGATCAAACATATCAACACAACATACCATTTTAAAAATAAATCTTTAAGATGTAGACATTGTACTTACTGAATCTAGTAATGAATAAACTAAATATATTTAAATACATTGCTTAATGAAATACAAAATTTAACCAGATATGAGAGTTTTTTTGTAGTAAATAGTACATTCTTTGCAGTCTTTCCAAAGATTGTGTTTATTACAGAATGTCCATTTATAGTCTGTCAGGTTGTTAATTCAAGTTTACGTTAATTCTGGCCTTACTATAGATCATGAATAAATGACTCTTATGGCAGAATCATTCATTTTAAATTCACACTTTCTGCTGCATTAATGATTCAGCTTTGAAGGCTCTATTGTAAGTGCTATTTACTGTGAGTGAAGTAGCAAAAATATCAGACTATTACTGTTACATTTTGGTTATTTTTAACATATTGAATATAGATTTAGTGATATAAATGTGGTTTATCTTAAATAAAATGACTCTTACGAAAAATATTCTATTGATACTTAATTGCTTTTTCAATTTTGACAATCTTTTTTTACAGTGGTTTTTCAAACAAATCTGTTGTACAACTCAGTAAGGTAGGTGTTATTTACTTCACCAAATGTGTAGTCAAACTCAGTATTTGACCATAAACACTAAAATAACATAGTGGTAAAGTGGAATTTGATAATGATGTTTTTGGCGTATTGCTAAATGAATGATAACCACTGACGGGTTTAGTAGCAAGTACTCAGAATAGCCCTCCAACCTTCTGTTTTTCAAATAAAATGCTTCTATTAGATATATGAGCATAATATTTTTACTTTTTGGTATATGATTCACTATATCCTTTTCACTGTGTGTGTGTGTGTTAATAGCCGATCCCATCTCTCCTAATAATTAGATCCTACTGAAGTTCCAATTTTGTTTTAAAAAACCTTTACTCTTTATCCGGGCTTATAATATAAATTATCTTTTTTCTAATTCCTCACAGTTGCTCTCTGTGTCCACTTAATATTTCAAGTTTTGAAGTTCACCCTCTGTAAGTTCTTCTTGAATGTTTTCTCCCCTGTCTAGGCCAACTCCTATTAGCCCAGTTTCGGTTCTGATTTCTAATCTCTGGATTGTTACAATAGGCTTTATGTATTAATTTTCTTTGCCTCTAGCATTTCCCTGTGTCAATCCATACATTACATTCACTACCAGCTTTTTTTCTTTCCAAAGCACACAGCTCCAATCATGCCACTTTCTTGTTCAGAAACCTTTTTTTGGTCCCTGTTGCTTATTGAATTAAATGGAAACATAGACTGGCTCACTTGTCCCTTTAAAAGATTATCTTGTTTCTTAATTTTCTAGGCATGTCATGTTTAACTGAAACATGATAACTTGAGGTTTCCTGAAGTAAGTCTTTCCTAAGTATTTATTCTTTTTCTCTTTGCAATGAACTTTGAACTTAGTCAGCAGGCTCTCTCACCCTCTTATCTGATTTTTAAAATATTTCTCTTTGCAAGTCTTGCTTTGTACCTTCCTTATGAAAACTTTCCAAGATGCCCTGACTCAAAAACCCATTTGGCAATAATTCTGAATCTGTACAATAGAGTGTTTTGGTACCTTTTACATTTTTATTTATTTTTGCTATTTTACTCATGGGGTTTTTTTTCTTCTTCTATTTTTTCACTACACTTTATTCTGAATCATCTTTGTATTTTCTGTAACATTTTTGTGCTCACCTTTGTATCCTCTATAATACCATTGATACCTTTGGCTTATCTTCTTTAACATCTTTGCTCATTTTTACATATTCTGTAACAGCACACAAAAGATGCAACAGATGAATGAACACGTGTATGCAAGCACTGGTAAAAACAATACTGGGAAGGATAAGTCAGATAAATGATCAGAGGAGTAATATATTGAGAGAACCTTTTTAAAATAATGCAAATACTTCTGTATAAAATAGCCGAGAGAAATAAATTGAAGATGTCACAAAATAAAATTAATACTTTAGGTTTTAATATTTCTAACTTACTAGATAGTCTAATTATTTCTGATCAGTAATCATTAATACAACATATTACAATTAATAATTTATTAAATGTTATTTTATTTAACTTCTTTTTTGCCCTCACTACTTTGAGATCTGGTTGTATATCTTTTTAGTTGTAGACTGTATGAATAATCTAACACTTTTTTTTCCTAACAATACTAGTTAATTGATAGCTTTTTGACTCTCTTATATGAGATTTTACTTAAACCTTAGCCTCTCAAAAGTTTTCTATTTAAGAGTTTAAAGCAAATGAAAATCCAAAACAAAGTAGAAGCATGCTTGGTTTGTGATCATGGCATCACCAAAATTTAGCTTGTAGAATTCCAGTAAGGAGGTCATTTATCTACATACAACAATGTCAGTAAGTATTAAGGTTAAAGGATTTTATTAGATTTACAATATTTTCTATTATATTTTTACTATTTAAGTCTTCAATATTTCAAAAAAGTAGTTTTCTTATTGTATATATTTAAGGTGTATAACATGATATACATAGTGAAATGGTTACTATAATCAAATTAATGTATTCATTCATCTTTGTGTGTATGTGGCAAGGGCACATAAAATCTATTCTTGGCAAATATCCCAAATATAATAGGTTGGTACAACAACCTATTATATAATACTGTATTATATAAAGTTGGTGTATTACACAATACTATTAATAGTCCTTATGTGTTCTGCATTATATTTCTAGACTTACTCATCCTATATATCTGCAACTTTGTATCCTTTGATCTCCCTTTTTCCTTCCCCCCGCCATCCTCTGGTGACCACTGTTTTATTCTCTTATTTCTATAGATTTGACTTTTTTTTTTTTTTTTTTTTAAGAGTCCACATACAAGGGAGGTCATGCAGTATTTTCTTTCTGTCTGGTTATTTCGCTTAGCATAATGTCCTCTTGTCTTGGTTCATCCATGTTATAGCAAATTTCAGGATATACTATTTTTAAGGCTGAATAATATTTCTTCATGTATATATACACGCACCACAATTTATCCATTCATATGTCAATGAATACTTTGTTTCCGTGTTTTGATTATTATAAATACCACTGCAATGAACATAGTAATGCATATTTTTTTTTTTTTTTTTTTTTGAGACATAGAGTCTTGCTCTGTTCCCCAGGCTGGAGTGCAGTGGTGTGATCTTGGTTCACTGCAACCTCTGCCTCCCAGGTTCAAGCAATTCACCTGTCTCAGCCTCTTGAGTAGCTCGGACTACAGGCGCATGCCACCATGCCCAGCTAATTTTTATATTTTCAGTAAAGATAGGGTTTCACCATATTGGTCAGGCTGGTGTTGAACTCCTGACCTCAGGTGACCCACCCACCTTGGCCTCCCAAAGTGCTGGGGTTACAGGTGTAAGCCACTGCACCTGGCCCTAGGAGTGCAATTATACTTATGGGTGGTGATTTAATTTATTTTGCATATATTTTTATTCAGTTTAAGGAGAATGTTACAAGTGTCAGATTTATATTAGTGAAAGCACAACTAGAAAAATATTTAAAAATTAATCGCACATTATTTGTTTGGCACATAGAGTAATGTACAAGTTTTTTGTTGAGGTAAAATATAAAATTTACCATCTTTATCATTTTTAAGTGTGCATTTCACTGATTATATATATAAATATAAATATATATAAATATATATAATATTACATATTTTATATATTTTATATATATATATATATATTTAATCCCTTAGTTCCCCCCCTACTCCTTCCTACTCTTCCTGGCCTCTGATAATCACTGTTCTATGCTGTATCTCTAAGATTCACTTCTCTAGCTCCCACTTATGAGTGAGAACATGGGATATTTGTCTTTCTGTGTTTGGCTCATTTCACTTTACTTTGGCCTCCAGTTACATCCATGTTCCTACAAGTGACAGGATTTCATTCTTTTTTTATTGCTGAATAATATTCCATTGTATATACACAGACCACATTTTCTTTATGCATTTATCCATTGATGGACACTTAGGTTTCAATAATGCTGCAGTAAGCATGGGTGTGCAGATACTTCTTTGGTATATTGATTTCCTTTCTTTTGGATATATACTCAGTAACTTGCTGGATCATACTATAGTTCTATTTTTAGTTTTTTGAGGAATCTTCACACTGTTGTTCACAGTGGTTGTACCACCATTTGCATTCCACCAACAGTGTATGAGACCCACATCCTCACTAGCATCTGTTATTGCCTGTCTTTTTGGTACAAGCCATTTTAACTGAGGTGAGATGACATCTCAGTTTTTGATTTGCGTTTCTCTGATGATTAGTGCTGTTGAGCATTTTTTCATATACCTGTTATCCATTTTTTCATATACCTGTTATCCATTTAATGATTTTTTTATAACCCTCTTTTGTATTTAGGAAAAAGTTCAGAAAAAAAGCTACAGAAAACTGAAGACTACTTTTGTCAATGTTACTTCTGAATGCCCATTGTAAGTATTTTTTGTAAATATTTTTCATTTTCTTCGTATTTGAAGAGACTACACGTATTTAAGTGGAGCTAATATTTCTCTTCATTTTCACAGGAATGATGTTTACAATTTTAATTTGAACGGAGCCGATGACCCTATCATAAAACTTGGAGTAAGCTAAAAATCAATAGATACTTTGTATTTACTGAGAAGTTACATTGTATTTACCGTGCGGTTATTAGATAGTATGTTTTTAATGTGCATCCTCTTACATGCTTTAAATTTTTTAAGAAATAGGTAATAATATTTTGGATAACCAGCCTATGTATATTTAGGTGTCTTTTTTTTCAATTTTTTTTTTTTTTTTTGGAATAAGATAGAGAAAAACAAGCAATTGTGGGGTAGAAAGCCTTCACTACCAAGAAAATCACCTTTCTTATTGATGAAAAGTAAAACTCTTATTGATTTTTATTATATGTTTTCTTTTCAAATACAAATATTGTAGTAAAGTTAATTTTATGTCAAATCTTATTTTGTGAAGCAAAACTAGATGTTTATTCCTTTTAATTCTTGTTTGACATTGACAACTCTTTTTTTAATGTTTATTTACAATGTAGATCCAAGAGTTTCAAGCTGCAGCTAAAGAAGCCTGTGCGGATAAGTCGATTAGATTGTAGGTATTTTTGTTCGATTAAAATATTCTGATCTTTTTTTTCCTCTTAAATATCTCTTCCCAGTCTTAGAGTTTAACAAATGAGAAGAGTGAATTAAAAATGGTAGTTATTATTACTCCCATTATGATTCTGTTACTTCAGCATTTACTCTAAATTAATATGCAAATTATCATCACTTTGAATATTAGTTGTATATCCTAGATCATGAAGCTGAAAAGACTTAGTAATTCTTTAATCTAACATAGTTATTTTATAACTGAGGTCAGAGAGGATAATTGGCTTGGCCAGAATAATATAGCTAATTAGTGAAAGAGTTAAGACTGAAAACTCAGGTCTAATTGTCCATTGTGTGTTACCTTAAGAAAACAAGTATGAAGGGTAATTTTTAATTAATACATATTTTTATTTAAGGGTAGGTCCAAGGAATCATGATGAACTTAAATCTTCTGTCAAAACAAAAGATAAAAAAGTAAGTTATAATATCTCAATATGTCTATTAGAAATAGTATTTCTCTTAATTTTTAATGTTAAAGATCATCAAAAACAAGAAAACAAAAATATTTTGATTTTTATTTATGCAACTATCCACATTCCTATTATGAATTTTCTTATTGTCTTTCAGCTGTTTGTAATCATCTAATGAAATGACAAGTTTAGTTTTTTTTCTATGTGTACTATTAGGTTATATCTCTCTGGAAATAAGTTGTTTTAACTTTGAATTAACAACATCAACACCAAAATGCAAGTATCACTATCTGATCTGGTTTTTCAAGCGACTTTCTTGGATAGGTTATTAATGCCATCCTAAATTAGGATATTGTTTTTTGTTGTTGTTGTTTTGGTTTAACTTACCTTGCATGATATAATGAGATGTAGTATTTCTTCATGCATTTCAAACTTTTTTTATAGATTATAACAAATCATCAAAAGAAAAATCTATTTAGTGATACTGAAACAGAGTACAGATGTGATGACAGCAAGACTGATATTAGCTGGCTAAGAGAACCCAAATCAAAACCACAGCTAATAGACTATAGCAGAAATAAAAATGTGAAGAATCATAAAAGTGGAAAATCAAGTAAGAAATTATCTGTTGGAGAAATGTTGCAAATGATTTTACAATTTATTTCAATTATTTAAAATGCTTTATATAAGCTTATTTTATTTAGACTTCATTACTACATACTTGCATGGATAGGACAAAACACTACAATTTTTATGGTTTTTGTTTTATTGGTAATATGGTTATATTTAAATTTTATTTTTAATAGGACCTTAGGAACACAAATTATGATTTATCATGATCCTTGGCTCATGATTCTCATCACTTGTCTACTCATGGCCCAGTATTATCCAGTTATTTAGCTAATTATTGTGAATAATATACCAATTACTCATGAACTCAACACCTTTAAGATCAAGGCTTGAACTTTGACACTAACCTATATATATTTACATGTATTTACATTTATGTGTTTGTGTATAAAATATATGTATTTATATGTGTGTGTATATATTTTTTTACTAAATATCCCATCTTCTTGCTGCACCCAACATGCATCCTTTTTAAGGAATTTATATAGACACAAAAAATATATCAAAAGGCAAACAATTTTCTTCCAGATTTTTTTTTTTTTTTTTTGCCTAAGTTTTCCACAAAGTATTTTCCTAGAAAGTGGTTTCTGCTTTGTCTTTGTGATAGTGAATCTCTTGAAGTAGTTGGTATGAGTTTCAGGTATAAGTTTTGGCTAGAGAGAATTACCATTTTCACAGCTGAACATCAATTTCAATGTTTGCTAAAACAAAGATTTTATATGTTGCATTTTTAAAAGAAGACTTAACTCTGTGATTTTCAATTAAATGTATATTTATTTTAAAGGCATCAGCTTTTATTTTATTCCAGGATTAAAAATAACCAATAGTTACCTAAAAGTAGAAGTGAATTTTGGCATGTGTTTAGAAATGAAGCTGAGTCTTGAAATTTAGGTGAGGGGTCACCAGATACATGAGGAAGTAAAGCAGCAGAATTATCATATATAAAAGGGAGAGAAGTATGGAATAGCATAGTATAATCAGGGAATGCAGTATTAAGGTATTTGGTACATAGATCATATTTGTGGGAAAATGGTGAAAGGTGAGGCTAGATTGCATCGTAGTCTGAACCTTGAAGCAGCCAAAGAGAAATATAATAAGACTCACATGCCCTCAGGGACCATAGAGTCTAGTGGGAAGATGTACAAATAAAAACATTTATAACATAAAGTAGAAGATTAGAGATCTCAGGAAGACGTTAGAGGTTAGAATACTGTCATCACTATTTATGAAATTGAAATTCTGTATGAATTCTTTTGTTTAAATTATTGAACAACTACAAGTTAATGTGTTTGAATTGACTTATTGCCAAGATTAGAGGACCTTTCTTCCAAAACAGCTTTGCTTCCTTTGCTTGGATAATCTCATTTCTTAGGTTTCAGAGACTATTTGGAAAGATACTTGAAAGGCAAAAAAGGGAAGTGGGACTAAAGCTGCTATCAATAATATGGATAAATCTTATTAACATAGTGATGTATGGAAAATAAATCATAGGATATTATACAGGATGTGATATTTTATAAATCTCATTATATTGTTTAGAGATATATATCTGTGTAATAACGCTTGTTTTTAAAGCAAGTAACTAAGACCTGCAGATTTCAGGACAGTAATTACCTTTTAGCAGAAGGGATACGGAGGATGGTATAAGAGAGCATACGTAAGTAGATTCAGCATTATCCACAATCTGGTTCTTAAATTGAGTGGTAGATTTATAGGTGTTAACTTTATAACTTATGTTGACATACTCTCTTATATGTTTAAAAAGTTCTATAAAATAAAGGAGTGGGAGGAAAACTGGCAATTCATATCATACCAAACACTATACAGTAAAAGTTATCAATTCTTGAAAATTACATTTTTGGATGAGTTTAAAGATGGTGCCAATCAGAGATGTGGTACAGTTGGG